AAATGAAAAAAAGGAGAGATCCTAGCGGTGACATGTAAACAAGTGGGCCAATGCGGGGCTAAGTGTAGTTGTTTTGTTTTTCATCATGTATTTCTTTGTTATGTAGTTAGCCAAATATGAGGCCGAGGGTAACAAAATAATTTCGTTAGTGTTCAAAGCCAATAGATTTGATCTATAAATAAGAGAAGAGCACACATCAGAAGCCCCAAATGTTATCTCAAGGGTGGAGATTCCGATGGTCATGTTAGCCAAGTGCTTAAGGAGGGGTTAAACCAAGCAAGAGACGAGAGTTCAGAACTTAGTCTTTAATAGTCAAAAATGGTTCTAAGTTCCCTAAACTTGAGGCCAGTGACCCCTTTGTTAGTGGTGTTAGTGAAGGGGTATTTCGGTCTTTGTACTTGTTGAGAATGTTGATGTGTACTGTTATGTTAGTTCGAGTGCCTCTTACTTAAAGAAGGGCACTTAAGTCTTTTCCAATAAGTTAATAATATAATAACAGGTCTGGCCGAATCTAGGGATAACTTTTTTATCTAATTCGAACTAGCCTTTCTCTCTTTCCTCTCTTTTCTCTTCTTCTTTCCTCTCCTACTTCTTGCTGTTTACTTTACAGTCAACGAACAAGACAGAATTCTAGGGCAGGTCAAACTTCAACACCCTTTTATAGCTAACCTTACCTTTAGGAGTGGTTGAAAGTAATTGATGATGTACGACCAAGATTTGATCTGGCTGATGCCACATGGCGCAATTTAAGGCCCGCCAAGTATCCCTGCATCAGTTATTATCGAGGCTATTCTCTACAATAGAAATTTTATGAACAAAAAAAATAAATAAATTTGCATCTTTACCATTGAACAATTGATATGAATGACAAATATGAAAAATAAATTGAATTTGGAAAAGAGACCAAAAGGGCTTGCAAGTGTATTAGAGAGTTCAGGGGAGGTAATGCAATTATCAAACTTCAGGGACGTTTTACCAATGGCCGGAAACTTTAGGGGAGATTTCAATAATTTGTCCCTTGGCTCGAGTTGTGCGTGTTGGTTTAGGCCCAGGACCAACTAAGCCCAACCCACGAGCTAAGTCAGGCCAGATCAAACAAGAATAAGTGCTTAACCCTAACAGCTCAGCCAAGAATAAGAGCTTACCTGCAACCACACCGACCTCTCTTAAAAAAAGCCTAAACCCAAATATAAACCTTATTTATCTCAAAGCATAACCCTACGATTCGAATCAATCCGATTTATTTTTCTCCGAGGTATTGGGGCCTCTATATCAGATAGTTCGTGGTGGTTAGGGTACATAGACCACAATGGACCTCTTCAAATGAGTGAATCACCAAAACCCTAGAAACACTTCTCCCATTTCATTCAAAAGCCTCTCTCGACCATCAGCACTCGCGGCGGCTAAGAAGAAGAGGAGAAGCGGCAGCAGCAGCAGCAGCGCAGCAATGGTATTCTCCCCCTTCTCTGTCTATTTCGATTAGTGCCTCTGTCAATGACGTTTCCCATTTTTATTATGGGCAGGGTATCGACTTAGTTGCAGGAGGCAAAAGCAAGAAGACCAAGCGAACCGCCCCAAAATCTAATGATATTTACCTCAAGCTACTCGTCAAGGTAAGTTCATCCGATTTTTCCTCTCTTATATTCTTTCTTTTTCTCCCTGTGTGCATCTCATCTGAATGTTGTTTGGATTTTCTTTGATCAGCTATATCGGTTTCTCGTAAGGAGGACAGGAAGCAACTTCAATGCGGTGATACTGAAGAGGTTGTTCATGAGCAGGGTCAACAAGGCTCCTATGTCCCTTTCCAGATTGATTAGCTTCATGAAGGGAAAGGTTGGCTATTCCCACCTTTTTTATGTTTTGCATATTATCTTCCCTGAAACCCTTTGTCGGTTCTCCGAAACCATTTATATCTGCTCCCTCTCACTACTATATTTTTCTCTTGGCGATTCTCAGGAGGATAAGATCGCGGTGATTGTTGGAACGGTCACCGACGACACTCGGGTTTATGAGGTACCGGCTTTGAAGGTGACGGCTCTGAGGTTTACAGAGACAGCAAGAGCAAGGATTTTGAAGGCGGGAGGAGAATGCTTGACGTTTGATCAGCTGGCTCTAAGGGCTCCTCTTGGTCAGAACACGGTATGAACTTAAATGCATCCTTGGTTTTCTTCGCCATCATTACTTCTTTTTTTAGTTTTCTTCCTTAGTCGTTGACATTAGATATTTGTTGGGCATATTAGTTTAATTTACATATCGAAAATGTTAGTTCGATGCTGGACAAGATAAGCAGAATGGGTTATAGCGGCTGAGTAATTGGGAATCCAGGAAGGCCAGGAATGGGAGTCATGACCTCCGCAGGCCTATTAAGGGATGGAGATTCCTTCCTTGTGCGTCTGGTTTTTTCCTTCAAGGGGAGCGATTGAGTTTCTTCTTAGGCCTCTCTAGCTTGGAAGTAGGAGACTCCCAAATTATGCTTGGGCGAATGCAGGATAATGGGTAGGTTAGGAGATGGTCCATCAAGCCTTTACGTCGACCAGTTCTCTCGTCCCTAGAATGAATGCTTTGCACTGGGGGTTGCACTTTTTTGGGTAGTCGTCTGTTGATCTCTTTGTATTTTTGGTGGATAGGTCAATTGACTGATACTTTCTTCGCTGAATGGTTTTCTTTTGTACTCTTTATTTTTTATTTTTAACAAGGCTTTTGGGTCTGTTTATAGCTGAGATGCTTTGTGTTTAGTTTAACATTTAGGCGGGTGTGTAGGATTTTGTTTGCTTTGGGAAATTCTAGTGGAAGTTAAGAGTGCTCTACTTGTGTAACTTTGGACAGTTTTTGATGTATCATTGAACTTGAAGGCCTGACTTGTTTAGTGGATCTCGTGATGCAATTATTTTGTTTCCGGAATTCATTTTGCTAGTGTTTGGTGCATAGGTGAATGACGTGAAATAACTCGTAAACATGCATGTTTCATACTGGGACCATAAAAAGTTTCAACTTTCAAGAATATGAAAATTAATTTTCTACAACTTCTGGTGGTGCTAGGCACATTTAATCATACTATTGCCATGACATAGGTTCTGAAAACATATTGTTTGGGCTCAGTTTGTAAGGAGTACAAATACAAACATGTACGGTACAAATACATACAAAATAATACAAAGTGTAAGGTTTTGCACTCTACATATTTGTATTCCTACTCCTTCCAAACTGAGCCTTGGGATCCAAGGCGCTTGTATGTATCCTGTGTTTTAGAGGCTCAGTTCTATGATTTTGCCCTTAATCTAAAGCTATTCAGATTCAAAAGATTTGTGGAAGTAAATGTTAGATGAAGTTCTCACATAAGCACTTTCATGATCCATGGATATATATAATTTCATGAAGCAGCCCTAAGTGTTCATACTCAAAAGTTATCTTAAACTTAACAAATTAAGAGAAATGATAAGGATTCTTTGTCCTTGTGTGTAGATAGAGCACAATGACTATATCTCAGAGAATGTGTTGCTTGGTGCTAGAAGGCTTTAAAAGAGAAAAGGGGAAGATGAAATATAATGGCTCTTTGGTAGAGCACATTGATGGGATTGGATTAATGTAGCTGACCTCAAGTATTTTCAATTAATGCTTTTCAATTACTGTAGTTTTTAATGTGAATAATGTGAAGGGGTGTTTCAGATGATCCATTCTGGGAAAAGTGTCCATTTAACATTTTCTTTCAATTGTTGATTACTTTCAACTCAACTGAGCGAAGCCTTGTGCCAACTCTATGGGGATTACATTATTTCTGTTCTGCCATTTTGCTCTCTTAGGTGTCGTCATTTCCATTATTAAATTACGATACTATTACAACCCATGTCCTTTGTTGCATGTTCCTAGCTATTTTCGATCCGTCACTTGCAACATGTTTAATTGATTAAGAAAAGGAAAATATCTTCCACGGTTACTTTAAGTTGCTTGGTTTTGAGCCTTTTTTTAAATCCATGTTGCAGGTTCTCCTCAGGGGTCCTAAGAATGCTCGTGAAGCAGTTAAGCACTTTGGTAAGGCTCCTGGTGTGCCACACAGCCACACTAAACCATATGTGCGGTCCAAGGGAAGGAAATTTGAGAGGGCCAGAGGGAGAAGGAACAGCAGAGGTTTTAGGGTCTGAGTCATTTATTATGTTCTGTCTTGAGGTAGGGATATTAGTGAGGCAAATATTTACCTTCTGTCGTGGTTCAATTTTTGTTGGTCATTTAGATATCTATTGCTGGTGTTTGTTTCTTTTCTTTCGCCCTTGATAGTTAAACTAGATGAATTGAACTTTGACAAGTTTGAAAATGAATGGCAGTAACACATTCATAGTTTTTTTCCCATAAAATGACTGCTAACTGTATGTTCAGATTTGTTGATGTTGCTTCTATCTGAAGTCTTGTTATTATTAGCTTGTCTGCTACGAGGATGACTGACATGGGCTATGAGTATGTGATTTTATCGATCAAAAAAGAATATGGGATTTATATCTCTGAAACCCCAGTAGATCCATGAAATAATTATTGCATTTGCTGAATCTTGACTCAACACATTCCCGGATGGTCTTTTTGCTTTTGGTGTAAAAAGATATGATTATTTCGGTATTTTCCAACGGGTCATTTGAATAAAGGCTATGTTTGGTTTGAAGGAAAAGGGGTAGGGAAAGACAGGGAAACCTTTAAAAAGAGGCTATGTTTGGTTTCCCTTCCTTTCCCTGCATTTTACTCTAAACCAAACAATTTCTAAGTGTCACAATTTTCGGAGCAAGTTTATTGAGAAAACAGTTGTAAAGGTTTTCAGGTGTTGGCCCAGGACAATTTCTGCTAGATGTACGGGGCATTCTAAAGTCCTGTTTGGAAACAACTTTGGGATTTTAAATGTCGGAACTGTGCAATTTTAAATGTCGGAAATCTGAACGGTTTGCTAATATCCCAGAATCTTAATATGTTGGCCGTAATCTGCATTCTAGAAACCAGAAGTAAATAGTTGACGAGCCGGTCATGATTCATTGATTCTCATTTGGCTAGTTAATATCCCTCTCTGCAACCAACATTCAACAAAGCGGGCTATTGCCCATAGCTGGGTCGCCCACCATATATCCAGTTAATATTAATGGTGTGATCACCGATTTCCTACTTAATTTTGAATATATTATAAATGATCACCGATTCCCAATCTAAATTCTAAACCCCCTATTACCGTGAACCAAATAGGCCCTGAATCAAAGACTTCTAAAATGGCACGTGTCTCGTTTGGGAATTGGGAGGTTCTGTTCTATAAAGGCCACACGTGTAAGATTTGTAATCTACATCTTACGTACCTCACATGGACACGAATTTATACGGTGCTCAAGTGTCACGGTGGTAGTTCTACAGTGCAAAAAACCCACGTGGCATCTGGGTTAAGGTAGGTTAGGACAAGCCTTTGTGTGCTGTAAGGCTAGGAGTTGCCTGATGAGAGGGTTCCACCAAGGTCAGTAGCACTGGATCATGATCTCAAGTCGTATGGTCGGGGCACTTGATTGGTTCTAGCCGGTCCATGGGAGACGCTTCTTACGTGCTAAAGGGGAACGGCCATAATGAGAGGCGACTGTGTGCCGAAGGGGTGGTTGGGCACTGATGTGATGGGTTTCCTGTATGTCGATGATGATGGGCACCTGTGTGCCATGTTGAGAGGCAACCGCTTGAGTCGGAATACACCCGCCCGCTAGGGGCAACGGGATAGCTCATTTAGCTTGGGCAAGGGGCTGGCGTGGTGAAGGGTCATGCTTGAGCCAGGCCCGCATGCCAAGCCTTCCTTGAGTGTCGGTAGCGCAGTGCCGGTCCATGCACTGTCCCCATGAACATGTGTGCGCCTATGTGAAACCCTGGTAGCCATGTTAGCCATTAACCAGGGCCGCTCCACAAAGGAAGTCTAGGAGTGCCAAGGTTAGACACCTAAGGAGGTCGATCACCCTTCCTCAAAGAGTACATTAAGCTTTTGGTGGTCTGCCTGAAGATAACATCAATTCTCCCAAAAATCTTATAGACGAAAATGACAGTGATGTCCTTTAACATAAGCCTGCCAAGTGTAGGCAAGGCTAAGCTTGTGTCAGACCGTAACAGGCTCCCCCACTCAACCCATTGTCGAGGTCCTTCCCGTGAATGGGCGTCTATGTCCCGCGCCATCAACTTCTGTGCCAGTTCTAGGGCTCGCCTGGCCAACCCGGGTCTCGCCTATATTGGTGTCCATTTATGGGGACAGAACCATTTCACCATGCCGGCCTGCCTAGACTTCACCCCCTGTGTTAAGGTTACTCAAACCGCGCAATGGCTATGCCGTTGAAATATGTGAGAAGGGCCCTCGAAGAAATTGAATGTGTCTGCTTCGCGAAGGTCTGCCCCATGAATCATCTTACCTCAAGGCTTGACCGTCTTCTCGATAGCTTTTTGATGGTGCTACCGAACACGCTGTGACAGGTCTACTCCTGCTATAGGCGATGTGTGCTGGGTGTACCCTTTCACCATGCTGGCCTGCGGTCTTCACCTCGCTGTGTGCAAGTTACTCAAACCTAGTCATGGCTTATGCTCTGTCGGCCCTCGAAACTACACTTCACCTCGCCGGTTCGGGCTACATCTTCGCTCCGAAGGGGCCCCAATGTGATGCTGCCTCAAGGAGATCTGACTGCTTTGTGTGCGAGTGGTGGCAACTTTTACCCATGATGTTGCCGAACATGCACTCGCCTTGTGATGAGCTGTCGCTGCTGCAAGTGTTTTGCTTGTGAATGCTGAGCATGTCCTCCAATGCATTGCCGGTGTAGGGCCGCCATGCTTCAACGACCAGTGTACCCACATTCCTATCATTCCAATATCGTGGCTTCAACCGATGACCCAATTTGTGCAGAACTGCCATTTCGGATTGCTATCCCCACCTTAGTAGTGCCTCAGACAAAGCTACGGAACAATGGCTCATCTGTCATGAAACCAAGATGTAGGCGCATTGCCCACAACTCACTAAAATGAACAGCAACTGAAGTCCATGAGGAAGCATGGCACTCCCCCACTCAAACTGCCACAATATGCCTTCCAGAAAAGGCTCACGCGTCTGCCCCCGCATGAGCACAACAACCAATGTGTCTGCCCCCACAAGGGTGCTGTTTTGGGGTCATTGGAATGGGGACACGAATGAATGGCCTCTTACCAGGCCTGATGTGAATGTTGCTTGCTCAAACCCAAGTGGAAGTGCCTAGGGACCGCACCCCACGATGCTGCTTGTTGAGATTACCGCTTCAACTGGCTCTGGGCTAATCTGCTTTGGCAATTGCGATGACAATTGCTAGCTCACTTTGATACCAATTATCACGGGGGTAGTTCTACAACGGAAGAAACCCGTGCAGCGTCCAGGCCAAGGTAGGCCAGGGCAAGCCTTTGTGTGCTGCAAGGCTAGGAGTTGCCCAATGAGATGGCTCCACCAAGGTCAGTAGCATTGGATCATGACCTCAAGTCGCATGGCCGGGGCACTCGGTTGGCTCTAGCCGGTCCATGGGAGGTGCCTTTTATGTGCTAAAGGGGGACGACCATAATGAGAGGCGACTGTGCGCCGAAGGGGTGGCTGGGCACCGATGTGATGGGTCTCCTGTATGCCGATGATGATGGGCACCTGTGTGCCATGTTGAGAAGCAACCGCTTGGGCCGGAACACACCCGTCCGCTAGGGGCAACGAGATAACTCATTCAGCTTGGGCAAGGGGCTGGCGTGGTGAAGGGTCATGCTTTAGCCAAGCCTCCCTTGAGTGTTGGTAGCGTAGTGCCGATCCATGCACTGTCCCCATGAGCATGTGTGCGCCCATGAGGAACCCTGATAGCTATGCTAGCCATTAACCAGGGCCACCCCGCAAAGGAAGTTGGTCTAGGAGTGCCAAGGTTAGGCACCCAAGGAGGTCGACCACCCCTCCTCAAAGAGTACGTTAAGCTTTTGATGGTCTGCCTGAAGATAACATCAATTCTCCCAAAAATCTTACAGGCGAAAATGACAGTGATGTCCCTTAACGTAAGCCTGCCAAGCATAGGCAAGGCTAAGCCTGTGTCAGACCGTAAAACAAGTGCGTCTCGTTGATATTTGATTGTAATGGTCGTAACTCGTAAGACCTCAAACCACAATCCACCAGCATTGCCGCATTGGGCTAGGCCCATTAATTAAACTGGATACGAGGCAACAGGCCAACAGCAGTCTGCAGCTGCAGGCCCATAATCCATCCAGATAGAGATAGGAACAAAGGCGCGACAACAGTGGGCAGCACGCAGCACTACGCCTCCAAATCTCCAACCTCCCACCCAACCGTCAATAACCGCTCAAAAATCAGACGAGGCGGCCTTTTTTTTAAACAACTGTCAAGCCGGTAGGCGGTAGCCTCTGCCTCTCCCTACTGCGGTACTGCCTGCCTGAAAACGGGTTCAAACTTCAAATCCACTCGCTTGTCCCCTTCCCTCCTCCGTCCTCTCTCTGCAACCCCATACATATACTCTATTCTGATATAGTTATTCATAACTCCAATCCCTTTCACTACCCCAAATGCGATTCTGCATAGTCATTCTCGTCTTCGCCGTCTCCCTCTTTACAAGCTTTTGTACCGAGCTTTCGGAGTCAGGTACGTTGGGTAAGTTTTTGTCTTCCTATCTCGCCTAACAAGACACTTAGACCACAGAAGACGATTTCACGAGTTCAGGTGGAAGAGACACAGTAAATTTAATGAATTCTAAAAATCTTGCGTAGGCTAACAAGTTAAGACTATCAAGTTTGGTGGCCTTAAATCTAATGCATTTTCATTTTTTTTTATAGATCTGTAAAGTATGTGCTATTTTTATGATTTTGTGTTTTATCTTTTCCAAATGTATCGCAGTTGAAAGACCCTTGCCTAAATTTGCTTTTAGTTGGTTAGATGATAAGAACACATTCGACGCTGGTGATATAGCAACCATCAAGATCAAAGTGCTTGACTATATTGTCAATGGCGAGAACCTTCTTGACGGATACCCAGTTAATCTTACAATCTCGGTGAATGGGAAAAGCGGAAATAGTTCCTATATATCTGGTGTCTTTTCATCACTTGGTGGGGATTGTACTGATTGGAGTATTTCCTTCATACCAATTACGGTTGGGTTGTTTAATGTGATGATCAACGATGATTATTTTGCAATTTCAGATTCCTCACTTCATTTTCTAGTTTTGCCAGGTACCATTTCAATCCATTTGTAACAGTAACACCCACTCAGGTTTCGTTTTTTTTTTTTTTTTCACTGGCATTATCTATTGAGCAGAAAATTAGATGTGGAACAGTTCAATCTCAATTTGTTTCCATATTTATGGTTTGATTTGAGGTAAGGTTAGCTGAGGTTTTTGTCTGCAAATGGAAAAAAAAAAGGAAAAAAGATATTTATCTGTTTTCAGTTTTCTAATGTTAGCTTATTAATAATAATGCATTACGATTCAGTAAATTTGGCATTGAATCTTATCATCGTTCATGAGTGTATAGCATTCTTGTATGTGTTTTTCAAAGTTTAAACTTATTAATTTTCCCGTTTAAACATTTAAAAATTGACCTGGAAGGTTTTATTTTCTTGTGATCGTCTTTCCCACCATCACCGTTTTATATGTGATTGATATTACTGTCATTCTAATGCAAGGAAAGGCCACTCAATTGATGATTTTCATGCTGTGTCACAAGACTCACAACTTCGAAACTATACTATAATAATTTTGTATGGGGAACATTTATTTTTGCCTTACACATTAATAACTCCTTTAGATTTAAATATATAAAAAATATTTGATTTTTCTATCCTATTTTTATACTTATTCCAATGGCCAATATATCTCTTGTCTGACTTTGACTACATGCTCTTTAATAAGGCTTGATATTGTGTAGCCAAGGAAATGGAAAAGCAAGATTATGGAGTAACTGATGTTTATGATTAGCATACTGAAGCCACTTTGGTTATTCTTATGTTAAAAACTCATGAAATTTCAGAGTATTAATCTATTTCGTTAATGATTGTAATGTCATTTTAGCCTGTGCTCATGAGATGCAATACACATTTAAAGCATGATGGAATCACAGTGACTAATTTTTGAGCATGTGAATATAAACCTATCTGTTCACTTTTTTAACATGAACTTTGCTATTTATGGTTTGCCACCAAATTGGGATAAAAATATTGTAATAGTAAAATGCTAGTTTCTTATTGTAAGCCCCTTTCCAAACTTGATGGTTGATTTTTTTTTTCATTTTAATCATTTTTCCACATTTTAATGATTTTGAATTTTTTTCATGTACGCTCTGATTGAAGGTCGTATGTACCCATCTGTTTGTGTTGCTTCATGGACGGATATTGTGAATGAGTTTGTAGCAGGAACAAAAGCTGCAGTTATGATACTTCCAAAAGATGCATTTGGGAATAATATCTCATCAATAAGTGCAGAACCCTATTCTTATAAATTTATGTTGACTGCATTATATGAAAATGGTTCCCTTGCAAGTTCTCTTAACATCACTCATGTGGATTGGAATGAATTTGGTTATCTTGTGGTCGAATTTGTTGTTACGATAGCAGGGAGCTTCAAATTACATATAGAGGGGGAAAATCAAAGCTTAATTGGCTCACCCTTACCATTAAAGGTGAAATCAGGTGAATCAGTTCAGTTTAGATACATCAGATTTCTATATACTAATTGTTAATGCACTTCAAAAAATCTGCTTTTTGTGTCCATTATTTTCACCGTTGAATTTCAACATTACAGTATTTTGAGTGATTGCAGTAAAAATCAGGATTATTAAGGTTTTAAATTCCCTAACTCTTAAGGGAGGGAGGAGAACCTTGAATATCCTATTCTTAAGAAGCACAAATGATGCTATGTTAGGATTTACTCCTTGAATTCCCTAATTATTTTCTTTCAAGGCTTCCCAAATCTTCTGCTAGCCATGTGAAGGCTTCCCATGCTTGGAGGAAATGGGTTCTCCCAAATTCTTGTATACTAAAATCCACAAGCATCAAAGGAATAAAATCATTGAATCTTCTGAGAAACCTGCTAAGGCAAAGCATACTAAAAAGTAAAAACTGAAAGCATCAAAGGAAACAAGTTGTTGAATCTTTTACTTAAATGCTAAAGCAAAGCACCACAAAACAAGTAAAAAACTAGACAAATAAGTGATATAGGTAGTCCTGAAAATATACCCATACAGAATAACTTTTAATTCAATACTCCCAAAAAGTTATATTTCTATTCCACTAGTTTACAAATTTGTAGAAATAAAGGAATTCCTAAATAAATTTATTCCAAGAAAAATTGTAACAACACAACATAGGTTATGGTTTTGGAAGTTTGTACTTTGTAGTAAAAGATGGAAGAAAAGAGAGGATAAAATAAGTGATCAAGAGTTAGATGATGGATTTTCAAAGTGAAAAAACTAGTACAATTCAGAGACAAGTTAATGGTTGAAAGGAAATGCAGTTCAAATGAAAAGACTATTGATTAAGGTGACTGAATGTATTAAACTAGTAGCAAAGGAGGTTAGGACTATAAAAGGAAAAAAGGGACAAACAGATAATCTGGGGGAGTCTTGTTGGTGGAATGGGGAAACTTAGATGGTCATTACTGTAAAAGGAGCCTACCAGAACACTTGTGAGACTAAAATGGGGAGAAGTTAGAAAAATACAACAAGAAAAACTAATTTTGAATCAGTCTGAATGTCTGATGAATGCCGAAGAGATAGAAGAGATTAGGGGTTATTTGAATGGAGGCAATATGGTTCTTTTAGGATTTTCCAATTGTAAGGGTTTGAAGCAATGTTGTCAAACTTGGATTGGACAAGGCAGTTGGACCAGTTTCTAATCAACCACCTGAGCCAATATATTCATTGTTGTCACAAAAACCATATTGAAGGGATCTGGACCTGCACTTTGAAAGTTAAGATACAAACATTGAATCACATGCAACCTTGTATATACTTTTGTTTATCATAATATTTTTACAATATATATATTTTATGTTAAAATGCAAGTAAGGTAACTATAACGTTGATTGCAAGTATGAAAGTAAATGACAACAGCCACAAGGCTACTATTTTATTTATGTTAACATTATACAATATATAACATTGTTTGAATATGACACATGGGTCACTGGGTCAGCTCAGTGCTTGTATCATCTGATCTGCGATCCAGTAACAAAAACAGTTTAATGTCCGGTCTGAGTCTAGCAACATTGGTCTGGAGAGAAATGAGGTGATTGATTGGGATGAAAAAGGCTAATAAGGAGTTGGCTGGTTAGGGGAAGGATGAATATGAAATGAAAATATAATATTAAATATAAATGATTGATAGTTAGGACAAGAGCAGAACTTTATTGCACAAAAAGAAGGCAGAAAAGGTGCAAGATAGTAACCACACAAAATGGGATACACAATATGGCATACTATCTCCAACAGATGAAGAAAATGAAAGGGTACTGGGTTTATAAAAGATATATTGTTTTTTGGACTCTCTGTTTCTTCTTGTTCTTTTGAATACTTAAACTTCCTACTTCCCACTTATATTAATCAATTATCTACTTTTTCGAAGGGAATAGAGATGAAGGGTAGTCTTTATAAGAGTCACACCATTGGCCACAATGTGTGAGAACATGGGTCATTTCTTGGTGGGATGGTAAAATCTTGGGCTAGCAAGCATGAGAACACAGGTTCAAGTCTAGGAGTGACCACTTTGTGCAAAAAGGTCCATATCCAGTTTACCCCTCCCAAGGCTAGCCAGGGCCACCATTGGATATTGGCCCTTTACACCTTTGGCCACGTCTTATTTTGGGTTAGGGTTTGATGGGGATGCACTGCCAATACATAGAGTCACATCACACTATAAAAGAGATAAATCCCACCTAAATATCATACTCTTGGGAGCATTTCTTGGGCCTAAAATGGCTTTGTGTTCCCTTTCCCTTCTTCAGGTAGGGGCAAGTGTCAAGCCATAAACCTGTCATATAGCCAACCTAATAAAGGGAAAAAGAAAAGAAGAATGTGACCTAACTTTTCCATTTTGTTCTTCTAGGATTTTTTTAACTAGTTGAGTGGAACATGCATTGCACATGTAAAAAGTGGGGGTGGAGTTGGAGACTTGGCATTGGAGAAGAATTAGGAAAGGAGAGATAAAGGGCAGGATGGAAAATTATAAAAATGTAATGACATTAATATTGAAATGTTTGAGAATAAACCAAATGGGAAATGAAACATGTGGTTCACATAATACCACCTTCACCATCAATGCCTACAATGCTCGTTGGATAAGATGCGGTGCAGGCGATAATAGTGGAAGATGATGTTCTCTTCCATTGTTGAAAGGGAAAGAACTCCAATTGGGTTTAAAAGAAGGGGAAATTGATCATTTTAAAAAGTTTTAGGGGCATTTAGGGATTTGGCCAGGCTCTAAAATGTGTTTGACCGTGTTAAGCGACTGGGCCACACCATTTCAGACCTATTTTATCTGATCAGAGTTTATGTATCAGACCTAAACACAAACAGGTCACATGTCTGAAAAGAAAGTTTTTCAGGTGTAGACATTTGGGGAGTGTTATCAAATGCCACCTAAATTAGATTTTACTATGATTCTTCAACTTTGTTGATTAAGGAAAAATTGTTATTTCTCTAGGTCTATAAATCTTGTGTTTCTTCATCTAGAAGTCAATGAAGGCTTTAGGGTTGCTCATATACTTTCTTAAGATTGGCTTATGTGGGACTCAACATTAGACATGTTCATTGGCCGGGCTCAGGCCGGGCTTTTACTCCTCATTAACAGGATTTTTTCAGGCCCGAGCCCGAGCCTGAGCCTGAGCCCAACCAACAGGCCTACAACTTGGGCCCGAGCCCGAAGCCCGACCTAACAATGATTTTTTTTTCACTTTTATTAAAGATTGCATCGTGAGTTCGCCGGAGTTCACTGGTGGCGCGGGTGTTTACTGGTGAGAATGAGTTCGCTGGAGTTCACTGGTGGCGCCGGTGTTCACTGGTGAGAATGAGAACATTGAGAAGATGGAATACACAGAGAGAGAGAGAGAGAGTGCGAACTCACCGTCGCAGTTCACTGGTGGTGCCGGTTCCTGAGAAAGTGAGAATATGTGACAGTGAGTGAGAAACTGAGAATGAGAACCGAGAGAGAGAGAGAGAGAAGACTCACTACCGGAGAGAGAGACGACCGGTGCCTGAGCTTGTGTGTCGCCTCTGAGACTAAGAATGGTGGCTGCCTTTTGGGTTCGCGCCAGTTCTTGAGAGTGAGAGTGAGGAGAGAAGATAGAAGATGAAGATTGAAGAGAGGGAATAGGAAAGGGTTATTTGGCTAGGGTTTAGAATAGGTTACACTTGGCCGGGTCGGGCTTTTGTGGCAAATCCCGAGCCCAGCCCATAAAAGAGTCGGGCTTGGGCTTTTAGGCCCGAGGTCAAGCCCGCGGGCTAATATCTATGCCCAAGCCCATCCGGGGGTCGGGCCGGGCCGGGCCGGGATGGCCCGTCGGGCTACCCGGCCCATGAACAGGTCTACTCAGCATATGGTGACAGTTAGATTCTGTCATTAATCATGGACTTAGGTCACTGAGCTTTTAATTGGGATGTGAAGTCCAGTAATGGCCTTATCACCTTGTTCACTATTCTTTTCTTATTTATTGTGACTATTGGACATTAAAAAACCATTACAGCTCCTAAACGGCCCTTTCTTGTGATCATTCTTCTTCAACATTTTTTACATCTCTATTTTGTAGCTTTCCTGGCATTGTTATTTTGACTAACATGTAATCTTATGAAAGATGAATACCTGTCTTTCTCGCAAAACTATATGCATTATGATTCCCTTATATTTTTCTTGTTATATTTATTTTTAGTGCAACTGTCTAGCTCATGATTCCTCATTGACACGTATTTCCTTTGACTCTCAATAGGATCTCTGGATACAACAAACTGCTTGGCCAAATGGAATTATGGAACAAATGTCTTGCAGATATTCTCTAAGCTGGAAATATTTATACACCAGAAAGATCAGTATGGGAATCTTGTTCCGGGTTTATATGAATTTGACGCTGAAGTTGTAGAGAAGGGAACAAACTTGTCTATCCCAATAGCAGATTTGCAATTTAAAGAAGTGATACCAGGCATTCAGTTATTTTCTTTCAGTGTACTTGAACCAGGGGAATTTGTGCTGACAATTTTTGATATGGAGCAGAACCAGAGCATCTCCAATATGCCCTATGACTACACTGTCTTTGTAGGTATGCTGTTGTTGCTAAAGAAAGTTGAGAAAATATTGTTGGTCTCATTCCTTATTATGTTTCATTTTTTTCTCTTTTTACTACTATATGATCCCATATTGGCAGTATCTCAAGTATTTTCTTTCTACAATATTTTCTATAGTATATATTTTCTTTATGTGGGTCTTTGGGAGTGAGTACTTTACTACTTTACAATCATTTGTTTAGGTTGTATGAATTATTTTGATGCTTAAATACATTATCCAGTTTAACTTGTAGATTCTGTAATATAGGAGAGGAGGCAGAGATTAGAGACCTATTGATTGACCCTTTCTTTGTTACTTATAAATAAGGCTATTATCAAATGATGGTCCAGGCAATGCAGTGTGGACTGTTATATGAGGATCTAACCTCCAGCATTTTTTTGAATAAAGTGGCTGCTCAAGATCTGGTTTGTCATAGTCTTCACAACACTTTCCATGGAATCTTTGCTATTTGTATTCATTCTTCACAAAAAGTAAACCAACAGCCTTTTATTTGATAAAGTGCATGCTCATTTTACTGTGTTTAATCTTATCATGCCATACCAGATTGCACACTATATTTGTGGATGCCTCATGATACATCTATTCTCACTTTTCATACAGTAGATATTCAAGCTTTGATGCCTTCATACATCTAGTTAGATACTTCACTTTCTTCCTTGTACCAAAATAGGTTTTACTGGGCTGAGAAATTCAAGGAAATTGTATCCACTCAATGTGCATATTAGGGCTAACCTTGCAATTTCCTATGGTTAACATAATCGTTGAGGTTCTAGTAGTCTTGTTTGAAGTCTCTGAGTTTCTACTTGCTAACTTTAGACATCCTGAACCGCCAATTATCTTACTTGGACAATAACTAGTATCCTCTTTAGGTTGAGCAATAACACGAGAATCAAGAAAATTATTTGAAGAATACAAATGATAGTCCCAAATCAACTACTTTATTAGTTTGCCAGCCCATTCAAGAGAAAATCTCTCTCTCTCTCTTTCTCTCCCTCTCTCTCTCTCTCTCCCTCTCTCTCTCTCTCTTAGAATAGTTGGCTATCTATGGTCTTAGGAGGGATAGTCATATCATTTACCATTGTATGTCTCTTTAGAGATGTTTGGTAGCATCTTTACTGTATAATAATGTCACTTCCTTGTTTTGGTCATTTTACATGTTTTCTGTGTAGTTTGGTCTTCAAGTTTGATTTTATAGCACAACTTAGTTGTGTTTTTCATGGCAATTAGTTAGGTAGTCTAGGAGTCATTGAATTATCTTATGATAGTGGCAATTCTAAAATTTCAATTTTCCTAGTTTTTTGTAGGATTGGCCACCACTATAGTCCATATGCTTTGTGTTTGGATCCAAAAACGTGGTGAATTTGGAGATTATTTTCTGCTTGTGTGACTTAGTGAGTAATTCCCTAAGTCCTAGAGTGACTCTAGGAACCCTATAAATGATACCTAAGTTTTTCTTCTTTCTCTGTCTTCTCTTTCAAGTTTTCTGAGTTAATCCACCAACATCCATCAAAGACAAGAAATAATCAACAGCTATTATTTAACATCAAATATATGACGTAATTATTCCTATTAATTCTTCCCTCAATTCTTTTCAACTTTCAACTTGCACATTTCTCTAAGAGAGATTTCTCTCTTTAAATCATCAGTACTTGATCTTGGTGAAAACCATGTTTGGTTCATCCATACTCCATATTTTAGTTTCCTTTTCATCTTATTAAAATTATTTTCAAAAACTCCACTAAAACCCTAGTTGTCAAAAGTTTCTAATCTTGAGAAACTTTTGACAGTTAGGGGATCTTTTCTTTGTTCTGTCAGTGATGATAGGGGAGTTTGAGCATGGATTTTGGATCTTCATTTTAATCTTTGGTTTAATTAGGGTGGCATTGTTTTTTATTTCCTCTATCGGGTGACTGCTTGTTACCTTGTATCTTCTTCTTTCTTTTCTCAATAAATTTTATTTTATTACAAAAAATATGTTCCTAATCTTGAAAACTCTCATCTTGTTATGCCAAACCATCACAGAACCTTTCCTAATTAAATCTTCTTAGTAAGCTCACTATCCTAAGCATTCCTTTAAAGCAGCATGAAGAAGTTCTATTCCAATCTCAAGATATTAAATATTCTCTTTTAGAAATTTCTGCACAAATGTGCAGAAATTTTAGCACTAAATATCCTTAGACAAACACTCGTCCACCTTCCGTATATCTGCTTCTAGCCACAAATATACTGTTTCGACTAGTGCTACAGTAGTCCGAACTAGAAAGAGAAGAAGAAGAAGAAGAAGAGAAGAAGAAGAAGAAGGGTCTGTCGAAAT